GACAAAGGAATTGAGGAAACCACCTCTGACTATTCCTTGCCTAACAAAACCCTATGAAATACATGAGGTTTAAAGTCTAAAGATGACTTGGAGGCACATAAACACAGACAAGAGCAAGGACAGGAAATTTCTTTTACTTGTCCAAATCTGGATGAAAAAGAGGTTTTGGACCTGCAATCACAGCATTTATTAAAACTTCTGAAGGTCTACATGAGGTTAGGGATAACCCACCCCCAATCAGAACATTTGTTTACTACTGGTAACCTGATAAATACATTTGCAGGTACCCGTTAAGAACTCTTAAATATCACATCTTCACTAAGTGCAACATTTTCTTTACAAGTCATTTTTTCTGTGGCAATGCAGTAAGATTGTAGTGTGATTATTAAGAAAGTGTCCACTTTCTGCATTTTCCTTTTCCAGTGGCCCTGCCCAAACATACATGAAATCTCATTTCTGAAAGAAAATGAAGGCATTTAGAGAAAATTTGATGATGTGGCCCCATATATATGGTGTACAATGCGGTCATTTTATACTCTTAAACCCCATACATCCTGTGACCAATTTTTTGCTAGTTATTGAAACAGGGATACTTTCTCTGAATACTAATGCAGCACTATTTCCTTTTCTCATTCTTCACTCTCCTATAGAAATGCATCCTTTCTGTGATGCCTCAATGAAACGAAGGCTAACTGGATGTTTTTGCTCATATTCATGCTATTAATACTTATTTCTCCACACTGCAGTTTAGCCTGAAGGAGTTTTACTTAAGTCACATTGATAATACTAAGAAGCTTATCAAATGATACTGTTCTACCGCAACTGCCCTGTGTTAATCATGACTTTGCCTGGAGCTTGATGGGTGATTTTGTGGCTCTTCTGGTGTGGTACTGGTGTTGGTTTGATTGGAAACCCATCCTTTCCCCACTTGAAATAATCCATTAATGACCCTCTGTCACATGGTGGTTTAGTAAGCATTCTGGGTGCAGATGTCTCATTCTGTTTTATATTGGGAGCACAGTGCGTGCAGTGTAGGTGTGGTTTCATTGCTCCTCTCATTGGGATTTTCCAGGAATCTCCAGCAGGAAAACCCCCAGACTACTTATGATTTGGATGGGAGGACATTAGAATTCCTAAGAGTTTCCAAGAAAAATGCTATACATTTGTTTCCCATTCTCTGGCATGTTTTTAAAAAACTTTATTTTTGAATTATTGTCTTTTAATAAGGGGAGTAGTGCAATAGCACAGTTCCTGTGTAATCCTGTTAAATTTTAATTCTCACAGAAACCATGCAGCTCAGGAAAAGTATAGAGTAAAGAGTAAATATAGAGAAGTTTTAAAAAGTAGTGTACAGAATCAGAACTGGACAAGTATCAGTTCACAAGAAGAGAGGAAGTGGCACATTGTGTGTTCATCTTTCCAATTTGTGCAAGGAATGGGTGTGGTTCCATAGTAATGTCACTATGTAATTGCACAGTCCCAGTTTCTGTTCTTTTTTAAAATAAACACTGGTCATGGAGAAGGAGCCAATGAAAATGGATGATATGAATGTTATTGTCGTATTTCAAGTGCGGAAAAGCAAACATGGGAACCAATATCACTGAAATGCAAATACCTTGATGGTGCAAAAGAGTAGATTGCCATTCTGCTACTTTTCTGATTACAGGAGAAAGATTTCAAGTGGAACACAATAAAACGATTAGTGTGATAAGCACCTACAGTATATACTCAACTATATGTCGATCTCATGTATAAGTTGAGGCTTGACGGCCAAAATTATGGATTTTAGTATGATCCATGGATAAATCAAAAGTAAAACTGGGAGGATCCTCAGATCCACAGTGGGGTTTTTTGTGTTTTCCCGTGGCAGTGGACAGAGATTGCTTCTCGGTTGCAGCAGGGAAGCGCCAAAGAGCCCTAGTTGCAGCCTTTTTTTTCTTGGAGTGAGGTTGAACAGGCATAGGCATCCTTTACCTCTTTGATCCCACCAAGAAACCTACTTTTACAGTAGGCTGTCCCCGGACAGACTCTTCACTTTCTTCCCATCCTCAGTTGTCTGCAGCTGGCAGACTTGTCTTCTCCCAGAGAGCACAGAGAAGGAAGAGGAGGCAGGTGGGTGCTGAAGAGTCCATTTGTGGAGAGGCAAGGAGCAGGGGCAGGGTGACAGAGAAAGCATGTGTGCTAACCCAGTTTTAATCACATCTGATGACTAGTAAGTAGGTAATCAGGTTTGCTTAATTCCCATGTTGATTTTAATTTATGTTTAACTAGCAATAACATCCAATTCTTCTGACCCCATGTACTAATAATGAACATAGACCCAAGAAATACGTTTTCACCCATCAGGGCTACAAAACAGCATGCATATCAAAATCAGAAACACTCAGTACTAGTTAAGCTCGCCAAAGAAATACAAAACATGACACCTATGAAATTCATGGGGTCTCCAGAAGTCGACTAACAACTTGAAGGCACATATGTACATACACAAATGTGAAAACCAGGGTAAGCCAGACGTGAAAACAATATTTGTTCTAAATGTTGGGCTTCTTAGCTAACGTGCTCTGAGTGGCTAACCTTCCTAGAATGCATCAATTTCGTCTTCCTCTTTCTGGATGCATTTCTGCCCCACTCTTCTAATGCTACTCTTTTTTTTTTTCTCCTTTCAATACTTGCTTACTTTGAGGGGGTAAGTAAACAGACACTTATTGGCAAGGAGATGAAACAGCAGTGCTGGCTGATACAAGTTCCTTATTGTGCCATGAGCCTCAACAGATGCCCAAAATAAAGAAAGCAGGGATCTTTTAGCTTCATCCATATTATTTATGTGCCACCATAGAGTGAGTTTGTTTGTTTGTTTGTTGCATTTATATCCTGCCTTTCTCTCAAAATGAGATTCATGGTGGCTTAAAGGTAAGGTAAAGGTAATCCCCGTTGACAAGGTTGTCAAATTGTGTCTGACCGTAGGGGGCAGTGCTCATCTCCGTTACTAAGCCAAAGAGCCAGCGTTGTCAGAGACTACTCTGTGATCATGTGGCCAGCATGATTGCACAGAATGCTGCTTACCTTCCCATTGAAGTGGTACCTGTTTATCTACTTGCATTTGCATGCTTTCAAACTGCTAGGTTGGCAGAAGATGGGACAGGCAACAGGAGCTCTCCCCATCATGCAGCCCCCGGGCCTGAACTGCTAACCTGCTGATCTTGCAATCAACAGAGTCAGCGTCTTAGCCACTTGAGCCACTGCATCCCTTATGGTGGCTTACAATAATTTAAAAAAGGTCCATCAAAAACATTAATTTACAAATGTTAAAAAATAATTAAACACCAGCATTATTCAAGAAACATGATTAGAAACTGCTAAAACTAGCTAACAACACTTAAAACATATTATTTAACTATTATTTATTGCTTATGAGTTAGCTATCTGTGGAACCAAGGTTGCAGCCACTGATTTATTTTATTAAGATCTTTAGATAAATTTATACAGCAGTGTTTCTCAACTATGATAGTACCAACAATAGCAGTACCAGCAAACAAATCTTGTGCTTGGGGGAAAAGGTGATATGATATGGGCTTGTAAACTGGTCTTATAAAAAATGAGCACATTGAAGAAGTTTTTTCATGTTTTGTGTGTTATTTAATTTCATGCCACACCACATATTACTTTAAAGGTATAGCTATCTCCCCCCCCCCCCCCTCAAATGTATATGTGGAGCTTTGTGATTTGATGTTGCTGAAGTTCACTGTTATACTGGTCAAGGATCGAATAAATTGAATTGAATTGAAAGTTCACTGTGTTAATAAGGACTGTCACAATACATATATTCAGTTTTAGCAGTGGACAGTGATTTACTGATGCTGTGTATGCTTCTCAGGCTGTAGTCATATATAAGTTGGGAAGAAAGTTTTGTTGAACTCTGTGCAGCTTATTGTGCATTTTGTTACCATGTGCATTTTGTTACCATACCTCATTTTAAAAGCTGAGTATTCCTACCAGAGCAAATGCCAGTGATGTCTGTACAACTGTTCACAATAGTAAGTATGGAAATAATTTTTAGTACTGAAATGTTGTGCAAGATTCCATACATATAGTTTATAAATGATTGCATACACACAGTTAATAAAATATATGAATATTTTTATATATCATATGAATAATATATAAATAATCTTCCTTTACATGCTTTCCAGGGATTTAAATAAAATAACTACTTGGAATTACTTGGCAGTGTTCAAGTATTGCATCACCAGCTGTCTAAACAAAAGTATCTTTTTCACAGTGTTCATACTAGAGGGCTAGGATTTATGCCTGCCTCTAGTGGCTATAAGTTCAAACATAACTATTGCAGTTATTTTTATCAGGATTTTTTGGGGTAATCTCTATTTTTGTAGGTGTTTCACTTTTGATTACTTGCTTTAGTTAGTAACATTATTTTGTTCTTTCAGTCCCATTGTATCTGAAATTGTAAATAAAAGACTGTTGAACAATTACCAAAAATAAGATCTTTGGAAATTAAATAATGACTTAGTTGTTTAAAATCTTACTTTCTCTCTCAAGTCTTACTTTCTCTCTCTCTGTGATATTATGAGATGATACATTTTAAGTCTGCTATTATTATGCAGTGGCCCAAGTGGTTAAGACTGTTGATTGCACGATTAGTAGGTTGGCAGTTTGAGGACCAAGTGCCACTTGAAGGGGGTGAGCTCCTGTCACTCGTCCCAGCTTCTGCCAACCTAGCAGTTTGAAAGCATGCAAATGCAAGTAGATAAATGGGTACCATTTTGGTGGGAAAGTAAAACAGTGTTTTGTGCAATCATGCTGGCCACATGATCTCAGAGTAGTCTCTGACAATGCTGGCTCTTTGGTTTAGTAACAGAGATGAGCACCACCCCCATGGTCGGACACGACTTGACAACCTTGTCAACAGGGAATACCTTTACCATTTTATTATTCTAGTATTTTGAATAGGGCTTGATGTTGGTCTCCCTACTCTGTATCACCGTGTGGTGTACTGGCTTGAACATTGGTCTACAACTCTAGAAACCAGGGTTCAAATCCCTGCTTGGCCATGTAAATCCACTGGGTGACCTTGGACAAATCATACTCTCTCAGCCTCAGAGGAAGGTAAAGGCACAGCCCCTCTGAACAAACTTATTAAGAAAACACTGTAATCCTTAAATTCGCCATAAATTGGAAACAACTTGAAGGCACATAACAACAACAATCGTTTTAATATGTTTTCGCCCATAAATCTGTCCCATTTCTACATTGATCTGTGATTTTTTGAAGAAAAATCTGAAGCTATCTGTGCATGAAAGAAAGGCATTTTCTTTCCAAATACAGATTTTGCCCTGTATTTTGATACTGTTTTTAGAGTTGTGAAATGTATTGGATAAATATTTGAGTAACTAGAACTGTAAATTATGTCAGTTTGTACCAGTGTTTGCAAAGATTTAATTCCTCATTTTAAAGACATACTATGGTCTGTGTTTGCGTGGGTGTGAGGAGCTTTTTCTGTGTGCAGGGGAAGGGGATAATAATAATAATAATAATAATAATAATAATAATAATAATAATAAAGCATATCACATAGTACCTTGTGGGATATCAAATTAATTGTTTGTATTATTTGTAGTACCTGTATTCTTCCCTTGCTTAGAAACTTGAAGTGGTGTTTTACCTGTTAAATATTTGAATTTAAAAAGACTGAGAGGTAGTGACTTTCTCTAAACTGTCTTGAGCTATATGACTATGAGAAGGGAATTTAAATGTGGGTTTTCCCACACCCATCTAAACACCACATCTAAATCAAGAGTAGACAACTTGGGGCTACTAGCTCAAACATCAGTGTGGTTATTGTTGGACAGCAAGTCCAAGCATCTTTCCATTTGGTTGTGCTGTCAGAGATGGTGGGAGTTGCAGATAAACAACATCTAGAAGGCCAGAACTCATCCATACTGGCTATAGACTTTGGGTTGGACTTCGCCTACACCTACGAGCTTATCACACCACACTCTTAAAATGGGGCTAGTTCACTTTAACAGGTCTGACAGCCTCTTTGTAGCATTTTGGGGTTTGTAGTTCCATGAGGATGGAAGAATGGTTAATACTATAGTTATTCACTGCAAACAGCAACACAACAGCCACAGCTACTTCAAATATCACTTTGTGATAATATGTGTTTGCAATCACATTGCTATTGCTTTAATTGTCTCTAAATGCTAGGAATAGGGACTCAAAACAGCAGTTATTGTAAAGCCTCTCAGTATGCATCAGTTTAAGAGAAAAACTGCTTCAATGAAAAATAAATGCTATAATTCTTGGCAAAGTATGGTATGCTATACTGCTGTGCTAAGTTCGACCACTGAGTGCATTGATCTTTTTTTGCAGGAATTTTATATTGCTTATCACTATAGTTTAAAATGAAATGTTACTCAAAATGTGTTACCCAGCAAGCCATTTCTTCCAAGTTAAATCAATTGGCTCCTTTTATATTGATTAGGATGCTCTGTAGTTGGTTTCTGCAGTATTAGCAGTGGGTGTAGTAAGAACTACTGTTTTTTTATATGTGTTTCATCAGGTGGTCACCACTGTGTCACACTAGAACAGGGGTAGGCAACCTAAGGCCCGGGGGCCGGATGTGGCCCCTCAAGGCCTTTGGACCGGCCCCAGGCTGGTCCTGCAGCCGCCACTGCCGCCACCACCCGCCATGATGATATTGATTATTGTTGTTATT